AACCTTTCAACAGTGGGAGTACATGAATGTCTTAAATTTTTGTGCTTGGAAAAATCAGCAGAGGGATTAAAAATAGCTCAAAAAACATACCAAACTTGGCCATAGACTTCAGCAGTGTTTGGCCACTTGTGGCCCATTGAGCCCTTTATCTCCAGGGCTACTTTGTCTTGTTTTCCTTTTTGCTAAACACTGACACAGTTTTACACCTTCACATAATCGGAATGTGTGTGCTTCAGAGTCCTAAAATGCGGGAAATAGTGCAAATTACAGTCTTGGCATCAGTTATCAATTAATCTGCTTCAAGCATATGTTTTAAAAATCATTTTAGGAGGAGATAGAAACGAAAAGCACTAGAACTTGGAGAAGCTAGGAATTTGTGGCATTCCTTGAAGACAGAGAATCCAGTGCTTCCAGGAGGCAATAAATATTAATAGACTGGGAAAGTGCCTGCAACCAGAAGGCGGAAGTTGAACAAGATCCCTTGTTCTCAATACAGTTAGAGGAAAGTAGATGTTCTTGGAGTTGCTGCTTATGTGATAACCAGTTAAAGAAGTTTAGTTCCTGTTTGTACTGTGTCTTAAGACATGCTTGTGCTGTTTTTGTACTGTTGTGGAGAACCTAAATTCCGGTTACCATATCTCTCAAGTGTATGAGGTCACTTGAATCTGCCACAGGTTGTTCGGTACTGCTGCCCTTCCTCCTGCAGTAGTTTCCTTGTTTTTGTTCTCTGTGCTGGCTGTAGAGTTTGTGATGTTTGGGATCTGATGTTGCTGGAAGAGGGATTGATGGAAATTAGTTTACTAGCTTAGTGAGTGGCCACCCAAGCACCAGCATGACAGACGAGCAGGAGTTACAGAGTGTAAGAGTGTAAGAAGATGACAATCTATTTTAATAATGGTCTGAGCCTTTCTCTACATGCCAGCAAACTCAAAAAGTGTGGTTCCTGATTGCTAGAATGGTCTCTAATGTCACAAACTTAAAAAACATAGAAGAGCTTCTAGATTCCAGCTCGATGTTAAGATGAATTCTTACTGCTTTTTTTTCCTTGGCTCCACTGGTTTGTACAAGTTTAGGGGAAACTTTTCACCACAGAATGAATTAAATCAAGCTGAAAATTTTGTAGTAAAAACTTTGTTTAATGCCACTTTTGTTGATTGTTGGAGGCACCTAATTTGTCTTTAGTAGGTCTGTCAACTGTCTTGATCCCAAGCTACTAGCTAGAATGGGCTCAAGCTGTTTCTTTCTGGAAGGGCTGCGAAACCGTATTTGAGAGAGAATTGTGGAAGAAAGAACTTGTTTGTAGGCAGGCCTATTGGTATCCAGCAAAAGGAGTGCATGAAATAGCCTAATTTATCTGAAATACAATAGTGATATTTCATTTTTTTAGAGTCCGAGTTGAATCTCTGAGAGATACTAATGGTCATAGAAGCTTGTGGGACACTTTGGGACACTGCAAATGGATCTTGGGAAGGCTGTTGCTGCCTGAATATTAAAAGAATAGTATTCATAGGAGAAAAATGCTCTATTCCACTGTGGAGAACTTGTGGCTATTAGATGACTACTTTTTTTGCCAAGTGGCTGATTGTTAAAGCAGAAAAACCTTCTGCCAAAGAAAAGAAGTTGGATGCCTTCCATAGCTAGAATTGGGTTGCCCCAGTTTATTTAGGTGTTCAGAAAACACTTTAATTATTACCTCATGCTTACTTCAGAAGAAACAGTTTTAATAATCCTGCACTTCTGACCCATTGCTAAAATTACTTGGGAAAAGGACTGTTTCGTTTGCTAGTCATCCTTAATGAGCTTTTCACCTGATGTGTCATATCACTGGTAGTTTTGCAATAATTGGACTTGACAGAATAATTCAGCCTGAGCCAATGCACTGTTTCTATAAATCAGCATTGCTCAGACCTTTGGAACTACATTTCTCACGGAAATGCAGTTTTCTGTCTTTTGCAGGGTCAGGCATCCTTATTGTTTCAAAAATAAATGTCAGATGAAATACTAGGAATGGCATTCCCTTTGAGGTAATAGTCTGCTCTTGCAGTTTGAGTTTCCTGGTATTTCAGGAGTGGGTTTACATACTGCCTTTGAGATCGAGCAGTCCTTACCTGTGATCTTTAGAGTTCAGGGGGATGCAGTGCCTGCTGAAGTCATCTTGCATGCAAAAAGAATAATTACATGCAAAAAGCTGCATTAGGATTTAGCAGGACAAGGCTTAGTGTAGTGTGCAGATGACCCTAAAGAGCTGTTTCAAACAGCTGTGTTTCTTATTCCTGGGAGTCAAACTCATCTTTTAAACAAAATGCAGCTAGTCATGAGCTTTCATCCAACATGCCAGGTTTGTTGCTTACTTTACATTTTCCTTTCTTGAGCCCCAAAAGGAAGATGAGAGGGACTCACATGACAAAGTTAAATACAGTATGAACCCTTAAGTATTTAAGTAAAAATGGATCCTGAAGTGGAGAGCTGCAGACTTCCTTTACTAATGTTTGACATATGCTGAAGTATTTTGAGCTTTTTCGGTGATAGGTTGGGGTTTGGGTGGTTTAGTTGTTGTGTTGTTTGTTTGTTTAATGCTGTTTCTCAGATTCTTGACCAGCACTTTTTAAGACTTAAAACTTTATCCTTTAGGAATCTGGAGAATTCCCTCATCTAGGGGGCAGTCTCTCTAACCTGTACCTCAGCCCACAGAGTGTATTTCTATTTCAGAATAGGTCTCATCCTCTACTCTCACTTGCACCAGTGATGACTGGGGTGAAGTTCCCAGTGCCTCCAGCCCATCTTTGCTGCCTGTTCCCTGCTCACTTTAAGCTAATGTGTGCCATGCAGGTTAGAGGCCAATATCTATAATAAGGCATCTGTTCTTACTACTACTAGTAATGATAATATGTAACCTAATAGGTAGCTCTGAGAAGTGCCATACTACTTCAGTAATGGTAAAGGACAAAGGGGGTGTGTTGAAACATGACTTAACACTCACCCCTTTGTCAAAGGCAAAAGAAGAGTCTATCTGGGGATGCATAGCCTAGTGCTGCATGTACTGCATTGTTCAGAAACGTGTGTGCTTTTTCTAGCCCTTCTGTCAGTGGCTGCACTGATACATCATCTTCCTTTTCTCAGGTGAATCAGGCATGCGAAAAACAAATCACCCAGCTGCTTGTTGAGGAAAGCTTGCTTTAAATATGCACTGGTGTAAAATTTATTACTATTGGGGGGATAGATGTTATTTGCACAAACTGCTTTAGAAATTAAATAAAAGAGTGTTTCCAAAACAGTGTGTTCAGACACATTCCAGAATAAGTTTAGTAAATTTTTAATGGCAGAATATTGTTCTTACAATTATTGCAGTGGGGGTTTTATAGTATAAGGTACAAATATGTGTGTCTAATAGGATAGTTTGAACTGTTGCTTTCTAGTACTTCCTTCTTCTTTACCTTACTGTTTAAGGTTCCCTTTCCAGTGACTTTGCTCCTAAGTAGTAGCTCCCTTGACAGATTCCCTCCTATTGGAAGTAGCTTGTTTACTTGTTACTACTTACTCCTTAATAAGGTATCCTTCACATTATTAGTTGCCAGTGGAAATGGAGTGAATGCTGTATATTCTGTATGCTGGCCTAGGTAGAAAAGGAAGATTTTTCTCTTAATTCTAATTGTTGCTACTGTGTCTTACCTGTATGCAACCAGTGCAAAGACATGTAGCATCAGGAGAGCCATCTGTGTCTTAAATGTTGAGAGTACTGTGCTAAACACTGTCTTATTCAGCTTATCCAAGAGCTCAGTAATGAGATACAGATCTCTAAACAGCAAAGTTTAGTTTTTCAATATCCTTGAAACGGAGAGAAAAATGATGACATCTAAAAAGTAAATTTGCAGTGTAAGCATGCAGCTCTGAACTGTCTGGGGACCTCTCATGGGTATAAGCACAGCTGTAATTTTGTGGCTGTAGCGGGTAGAGACTGGAATGTATAATTCTAGAATAAGATATTTTTTCTTTAAATGGCTGTCTTTGTACTAAACCAGATATATGAAGGAAATTAACAAAGTGGTTTTGGAGACTCCAAGTTATCAACATTTTGGTACCATCTGTCTCTCAGTAACCCCGAGTACCCATGTTTTCAGCCCTCCCACAGTACATCTTGATGATCTCTGAGGTGTCTTCCAACCCAGTTAATTCTATGATTCTATGATCTTCCCTCATTTCTTCCAAATCTGCTCCATCTCCCTTCACGAGTTTTAATTATCCTGTGTCTTCTTCAGAAGACATATACCCTGTGAAAGAGTAAATGTTAATGTAGCAGTGAGTACAAAGAAACAGTAGCAGACTCACCATGAGTATGCATGGTGGTTGCTTCCCTTCGGCTTCCCTGTCCTGGCACCCTATGTGCCCTGCTGGATACCGAGGATACCAGTGTGATGGCCTAGAGCAACCAGCCAGTGCTTCCTGCCTTCTCTGTGAGTCAGAAAATGATGCTTTGCTGCCCTCACCCTGTGCCAAGTAGCTGAGTACCAACACTGTCACAGCTTGTTTCTGCTCCTCTGAATGGTCTGTCTCAGGAGGATCCGGGTGTGAAATGATACAGATGAAAATCCCACCTTTGTTACAGTTCACTGTTTCTGGGGATCTACTGCAAACAATAGTGACTCAAATTCAAATCTGCATCTTAAAATGTATTGAATAGTCAGATAACCAGAGGAGGTTCTGGTTGGGCTGAACTAGCCCAGTTGTTCATCCAGGCGTGCCCACAGACATGACACTTCACGTGCCTTTAAAAGGTAAATGCCTGTGTAGTTGGAATCCTAAACCACTGTTAAGATTATTGTACTTTTAGTCAGAATTTTACTCTGTTTTCAACTTTGATCTGTAGGGCACTTCTGTTTTTACTCTCAGTGGGAGTCATGTAACATACATAACATATATTATAGATTCAGCCATATGTACTATTCCTTCAGGATAGAAGTGCCTCTGTAACAACATCATTGATTTTTGCCTTTGTTTCCTAGGCTGTGAAGATATTATTGCTGAGAGCATCTCCCTAGACACCTTAATTGCCATTCTGAAGTGGAGCTCTCAGCCATACGGTTCCAAGTGGGTACATCGTCAAGCACTGCATTTCCTCTGTGAGGAGTTTACCCAGGTCATGACTTCAGAGGTGTTCTATGAGCTTAGCAAGGACCACCTGCTCACAGCTATTCAGTCTGACTATTTACAGGTAACCTGCAATGCAGAATACAGATGGTCCTGCTTGAGGCAGGGTGTGTTATACCGTGTCTAGAAACACTTGGGAGTAGCCGATTTTAAATTGTTCATGAGTGAGTTTGTACACACTGAGCACTCCTTTTATAATACCTAAGAAGCGAAATTGAAGTAGTGATTAAGAAAACTGTTTTCTTCTTGGCTTGTAACACAACCCAAACGTGGAACATGCTATCGAACTTCACTCAGAAGTCTAATAATAGTTTATAAATGGATGAAGATTATTTTAAACAAGGCATTTCTGAACCTAACATTTGCCTTGCATGTTTTAAGAGTTTTTCATTAAATTTATGCGATGGTAGTAGTTTTGCTGTAATGACACATATACTAATTTGAGTCTGATAAACTAGTAATCATTCAGAAGACTTAATTTACTTTTGTGGAAAGACAGAAAAATACCTTTTTTGACAAGTATTGTAGAATTTTTTTGTGTGACTTTCCTTCAGTAATTGTGTGTTTTTATGGAGGGAAAATCATACTGACAGATAGAAAGCTTCTGGGTTTTTTGCTGCAATTTCTCTTCAGGGGAGATATCATTAAAATGACAACCAGCCTCTTACAGCTTAAAGATGACTGGATTTTTTTAAATTGTATCCATTCAATCTTACCTTTTTTAAGGGATAAAGTCTTAGAGATTATTTAAAGTGGATTTTTTTAGAAGTGTTGTTTATTTTAAATATTTCAGAAATTACAGTTGAAAGTACTGTTGTCTTCTGTGAGAGTGTATATAATGACTAAATTTCCTACCCTAGTTAAGAATTTATAATAGCCAAGTTTAACTTTTCAGTATGTGATTTTTTTTTCCTGTAAGAATGTTGAGTGGTTAGCATATGTATATAGGTATGAGCAAAGCAAAGTTGTTTTATTTATAGCATCATTGTTTATTATTACTATTTCTATTATTATTATTACTACTATTATTATTATTACTATTTATTTATAGTATTTATTTATATTCTTACTGAAAATCTTTCTCTTCACATAGATTATAATTTAGTGGGGTTGGTTATTTTCGTAACTTTCCAGGCTCTGCAGATACTGGATTTCAAATGTTAAACAAAACATCCAAACACCCAGAGGTAGAACTGCTCCTTTTAATTAAATTCAGTAATTCAAATTTAATACCTGTAACTGTCCATAGTAAATAAAATTTCTTCTTCTTTAGAAAACTCCTTTTCTTCTTCCTAGGGATTCAATAAGTGTCATGAATCTAGAAATTATGGTGGTGATATGCCAGTAGTAACACCTTAAAATATTAGGAGAAAGTGATAAGAAGATCATAAAGTGCAAATCCTTCGTGCTTTTTTATAGTTGTGTTTCTTTAGAACTGTAAAAGACCTGTGTATGTGACTTTGTGTGTGTGTGGCATTAAGTATATGCAGATTGCTGACTTCCTCTTTCTACCAGGCAAGTGAACAAGATATTCTTAAATACCTGATTAAATGGGGAGAACATCAGTTGATGAAGAGAATAGCAGATCGAGGTGAGAATGCTTTAAATCACACAATACTAAATCAAATAACTCAAAATTTGTGAAAGTTTTATTTTGTGGGTAATCTGTTACTTAAGAAGATATAATCTACTTCGTTCGCAGTATAGCCAAAACTAAACAAATGCACTTAGTTTTTTTTTTTAAGTTTTTGTTCTCTTAACTGAAATACAAGAAATTCTGTTTAAAGAGAGGAAACTGAAGATGGTCAGAGACTGGAACAGGTTGCCTAGAGTAGTTACAGGATCTCCAATCCTTGGAGGTATTCAAATCCCAACTGGATGTAGTGAAGGGCAATGTGCTGTACTCTTCCTGGGGAGGTGTGGGAAGAGGGTGCTGGTTGTGGCTGGACCAAACTTCTAGAGGTCCTTTCAGCTCTGTCTGATTTTGTGTCTGGTTGATTTCCTGTTCTGTCAGCATTATTTTACTTGTAACTAATTCATCAAATAAAAAAAAATCTGTGGTGTCTTTTCCTTTCCTGTGCTTATGCAGGCTTCTCACAGTAGGCTTATTCTTAGTTTACTTAGTGTCAGCCTTTCACTTTGGTTTGAGTATGTCTCTCCCACAGAAATCTAAGGTTGTGAGAAACAAGCCAAAAAATGGCACTAGTGTTTTCCCTAAAGTAGATGTAGATGTATTTTTATCAGCCTAGATGCACATTGTTGCTACAGCGGTAACTTCAAGGGCAGTCTCACCTGTTGGATACGGGAAGTAGGTTAAACATATATTTTCCAAATAGCAAATGCAAGTAGCATTTGATTGATACTACAAAGTATCAATCACATAAGTACAATAAGTGGAACAGAAAGGGAAGAACCTGCCTGTGTAAAGTGTGACTACTATCTTTGGAGGGCTGGCCATGTTTTTGAAATCCGCTGTTATTGTTTGCAAAACAACTACTTTGTCATGGACATGTCTTATGAAATGCAACAAAAAGTCAGTTAGAAGATGTGCTTCTGGTGATCCAAGTAAGTATGAACCTATTTTCAAAACCAAGATTTTCTAAATGTTTGTCTTAGGGCACATTAAAACATAATGGAGGCAGTTAAACATTAACAGACCTGGACTGGGGCAGAAACTGCTCGTTTGGAATAACTGCACAGCTTCCTGCTCTGTGGCATTCATTAAGTAAACAGCTGACTTCTCTTTCCTGGGATCATCAGATAACATGATAAGCAAAGGCAGAAATAAGAGCTACGTCAAGTTCTGTCAGATTAGGGCTGAATTTAGTCTAGTAATTTCATCTAAATTCCTCAGTCACACTCCTGAGTTTACAGTTATGAGTATGTGGTGGTGTCACTCAAACGCCACAAAGCATTAGAGATTGTAATGAGCTCGAGCTGCCTGAACTGAAGGAGGATGGGTATGTTTGACAGGTTTCCTCAAAGGGTGAAGCTGGTCAAATTAAGGTTGTACACAATACTTAAAATAAACATGAAGGCAGTTAACTGGGGAGGGAGAGTGACCTGAGTGTGTCATACATCATATCTTGCCATCTCTAGAAAGGTACTCACTCCTGGCACAAATAGGTATCCCATGACCGTGAATGGGATTTGAATGAGCTTGACATTCTTGTTAGTAAGGTGGGCTACACAAGGAGGCTAAAATAATGTATCCCAGTGGACTCTGTAGAAAATAAGTCTTTGCAAACTGCTGGGGAAAGGTAGAGGAGTTGCAGGAGGGAGTTCTTGAGGGAACTGCTGTAAGGGAGGTACAAATGTTTTCATAGCATAGTTCTTGATAGAGCTTTACAAGCTTTACCCCAAATACTGTTTTTATTTTCTATCTGGCTTACACTTTAAAACTGGCAGCTGTGCAAATGACCTGTGCTTGTATAAACTGAACCTCTCTCTGTGGATGTTCACATCAGATTTTAAGGCATGAAATAGAACCACAGAATCATTTAGGCTGGAAAACACCTCCAAAATCATCGAGTCCAACCTCTGACAGGTCACCACCTTGTCAACTAGACCACAGCACTAAGTGGCACATCCAGTTGTTAATTTTGTGGAACAATGCTGTTGATTTAAAATGAGAATTTTGTTTCCTTTTCTGTAACTTCCTGGAAGTGCTGTAACTCCTGCTATCCTATTCAAACTTTTTGATGTAAACTTGTTCCTTCCCACAGAACCTAATTTACTCAGTGGTACTGCTCACAGTGTGAATAAAAGAGGTGTGAAGAGGAGAGATCTGGACATTGAGGAGCTGAGGGAGATCCTGTCTCCGCTTCTACCTTTTGTCCGCATTGAGCACATCTTACCCATGAATAGTGAAGTACTGAGTGATGCAGTAAGTCAATCTCATACAAATACCATTTGGGTTCTTTGTTGTCCAGATGCTACAACGTTCAGGTGTGGGGTTTTTTTTTTGCTTTAGTGGGTTTTGGGTTTGTTTGTTTGTTTTAGGCATTAACTTATAAAATGTTATCATTGAGAGTAATACATATATAAGGCACATTTCTGGTTAAACTTCCTGTTCTTTAAATCTACCAGAAGGCTAAAGAAAAATCAGTAGTATAAGGATTCAGTGTAAAAATACATTTAATGCAGGTTTTTACCGTATTTATGTTTAAAAAACCATGAACCTCTTTCTTGATTCTTAAAGATGAAGAGAGGCCTGATTAGTACTCCTCCTTCAGACATGCTACCAACATCAGAAGGTGGAAAGTCAAATGCCTGGCTGCGGCAAAAAAATGCTGGGATATATGTGCGGCCAAGACTGTTCTCGCCATATGTGGAGGAGGCTAAGGTAATAGTCATCAGCAACACTTGACTATTGTCAAATTAGAGTCATCAGGGGGTTCTGTAAACAGGGAAAGATTTTGGTATGTTTTGTGTCTCTTTACATGTACTGGCCTAAGATACTAACATTTTCAATTTAACAAGACTTACAAGATTGATCATCAGGCTCAAGTCTCTAGAGCTGGTCAGAAAAATTTCAACAAAATTTTTTTTGTCGAAATTGAAATGTTTGCGAGACAGATCTTGATGAAATTCCACCGGAAACAAAGCAGCGTTCTGAGGGAAACCTCCCTGGTTTCCAGCCAGTTTGCCGGCCCAGCTCCTCGGCAGCCCTCCTGGCAGGCGGATGGCAAGGTGAGAGCCTGAGAGTCCCAGTTTGCAGCTAGTCAGCAACTTTGGTGCCAGGTCTTTCAGGCTCCCCAGCTCCCACCAGAGCTGGGTGAACTGCTATTCCACTCAGCAGAGGACTCTTGATATTTCATCTTCTTGTTTGAATCAGAAAATATCCAAAAATCTTGTGATCCTTCACAAAATGGAATAAATATCTTGTGTCCAATTTGAGTGAAGTCCTTTGTGTCCCTCTCAGGCAGTAGCTTCCCTATTTAATTCCTTGCATGAGCACTGCCAAACCGAAGGTCTTGCAGCATCTCTGATGTTTGGTGACAGGGTGGAGATGGTGCTGTGTGGGGCAGGAAGGTGCCACATTATATTTGACAGAATGGGAGCCTGTTGCGTTGCTGACTAATTCTATCGCTTAAGGTAGCTCTGACTTAAGCTGAGAGCTCGTGAGTCCCAGCAGGGCAGGTGGCTGCAGAACAAGAGGATTAGATGAAGCTATGTAGGTTCACATCACCTGCAGACTCCGACCACTGCTCTGAAGAATTCAGAGCTCTTGCCCTGTGCCTAAGAAAGAAAATGTTTTCTAAGGGTATGAGTTGTTGTTGGTGTCCTCTTTGAAGGGAGGGAAGAATTAAAACTACTTTGCATTTTGGGTGCAAAAGTTAGAGCATGAAGTGGCACTAAAACAGCAGAGGAAGAATAGCTGGTTAAAATGTTATCTTTTTATCTTGGATTGAAGATTAAAGCTAACAAAAATGTGTTAAAGAATATGTGATAAAAGCTTTGACTCTGTTTTCAGTATATGATATGGGAGTGCTTTAGTAGTTACCTAAAGTAAAAGGTGCATTCTAACACACCCCTCACCTTCCACCCACTTGTTTCTGTTAAGTTTCATACTATGCTGTTATTGTTTTTTAAAAACACTTTTGACTGTTTAATGTTAGAGAGAAGACTCTCATACTTAATCTCTGATAACTTTACTCCTCCTATTCATAGTTTAAGTATTGTGAAATGCAAAAATTGTGAATGAGTAATTTCTGATTACTTTTTTTAGTTCCCTGTTAGCCTCACATGTTTTGAAATAAATCCATTTAACATTAAATCAGAATCTTAAAAGGGTAGGCATAAATCCCTTTCTATTTTTCAAGATGTCTGAGGGAAACATGTTTCATTTTCAGACTCATGCCTTCCACTCAGTGGCACAGTGTTGAGACCCACAGGCAATAATTGCCTGAAACAAAGTCCAGAGGGTCTGCCCTCAAGAAGGTCACTTTTAATCTGGCAGGTACAAAATAAATAAAGCAACCTTTCCAAACTTTATTTGCCTGCCTGCTCTTTGGTCTGACTCAACTCTGACTGTGACTGGAAAGTGGAATAGAAAATGCCAAGGAAAAGCCAAATAGTGTTTGTGACCTGTAAAAGTTACTGTGGTGTAGCTATTGCTAGACATGTGCCCTGGGGACTGCACTTGCAGCAAGTGGTGGGGGGTGTGTGCAGTCCTTCACGAGGGCTCTGGTGGCTGTCGTTGCAGTCTGTGCTGGATGAGATGATGGTGGAACAAACAGATCTCGTTCGTTTGCGGATGGTCCGAATGTCCAACGTGCCCGACACCCTTTACATGGTGAACAATGCGGTGCCGCAGTGCTGCCATATGATAACCCACCAGCAAGTCAGCACTAACCAGACCAGTCCTCCCTCAGTCATAGCCAACGAGATCCCAGGTAAGGCTGCTGGTCGCTTCCTCTGCCAATTGATCTTGTGTGAGCGCTGGGGGCTTGGGCCTGGGGGGAGTGAGGGTCAGCTATTGAACGTTACGATTTCCTCTGAGAGTAGCACTGCATCAGTCATAGTCTCTTTGCTTTGGTTTGTTCTGAAGACATTAACTGGGTTGGGATGGCATAGTAACTAGGTAGAAAACAGTCTGAAAAACCTTGGACTGGATAAACACTGTAGAACACTTGCTGGAGCCTCGCTCTTTGTTCTCAGAGTTTTCTACAGGGTTCTCATTTTTCTACAACCAGTCATCCAAGATCCAGGTAAGATCCAGGAGGCTGGAAAAGGGCAAAATCTTTTAAAAATTAAAAGCTGAGGAGCATAACTGATAGGGAAATCAGCTTAACTCAGTATGCTAGAAAAATATGGGAAGTAGGCATTCAAACATACTTAATTTCAGTTTACCAAATCCACTTTAACTTTGAAGTCAAAGCAACTTCATTCAATTTTTGGCAAGTAGATATGGCCTCTCTTCAGGACACTTGGTGCGATATTCCCCATAGGCAAGCCAGGAAAATATATACTAAATATATTTTGTCATTTATGCATTTGATCTTTTGGTGTCAGACTGTAAGAATCTATCTGGTGGGATTCCCAAAGCATCTAGTTTTGTGTGCATAGAGAATTCACTGACAAAACTTGCAACTGATGACAAGTCAGAAGGGTCAGTGAATGTTGTGGAGGGCAGGATTCAATAGCCAAATGACCAGGATTTAATTTAAATTCAGTGAAGAAAGTGGGAAACACTGTGTAGGTGTCACCAGCTGTGCATGTGGGATGGCTGAGGGGAGCTCTGTGGAGAACAGCCTGAAAGTCAGCAGTGTATGATTCCATAAAGAGCAGTTGTTGTGCTAACATACAAAAACAAATGTGCCACAAGGCATGAGGTGATTCGGTCTTAGATGGACCATCACGTGTAGCCCTTTAAATGGCCATACTGGATCAGGTCAAGGATTTGTCTGTCTACCCTAAATCCTTATTCTAGCAGTCACTGGAAGTGAATGCAGAGGGAAGCACAACAGAGAAAGCACATAAAATAATACCCTGTTAAATTCTGTGTGCTTTTCAGCCATGTGCAGTTTGTAGCTGTGCTGTGGGGGATGGTGTTTCCTCTGTAGTTAGTATTTTTGAATGCATCGTTAGTCCATGAGTTTATGCAGTCTCTCGTTAAATTTGTATATACTTCTGGCACCAGATTTTAGATCAAACTATCATATTTCAGTAGATACGGATCACTTTGGGAGTCTCTAGAAAAGCAGTAGAGATGGCATGCCAACAAGAAAACAGTCATCTTCCTCTACCACTCCTGATTCCCTGTTTTATAAACTTTTTGTGTATCAATTATGTCTCCCTTCAGTCAACTATGTTGAAAGGAAGTTGATTTGTATGCTTCTTGTGATTTGGGAGGAAACTTGATAAAACCTAAAGGGAGCTTCTGAAAACTTTTTGATAAATTTTTTTGTCTAGAAACTTACAGCTGTGGCATCTCAGCAGTGCATTACTTCCCTTCCACACACACAGAGAAAAGCATAAATATAGTCACCATGAATCGAATATAAAATATTTCATTATAAGATATGACTTTGATAACATTTTGCTCAGTCAGTTTCCAGAGAAGTTGAGAAAAGTAACAGGTTCTGAAAGGTCTCCAAAATTTTGCAAAAGTTCTCATGTTCTCTGTTGGCAAGCATGAGACATCTTTACTAATCTGAAACTCCCCTGCAGCTTGGTTTTGTACAATTTAATGGGTAGGAATTATTGCCAGTCCTTTGAATTGAGCACAGATATGAGCCCTGAGCCTGGCCAATAGTTGGAGCACAGGAATTGTGTCCTCATAACTGTCTGCTTTGCTTAGTTCTGTAATTAAGCAGAAGAATTGATTGGTTTTGCCAATGCCTCTTTGCTAGGATGGGCAGATGGAGCCTCGTTAATTTGAGGAGATTAAAGCTTGTACCAAACCTATAACTTGTACAGGAATACATCCTAAAGCATAGATATGGAGCACAGGAGCTGTGGGGGGAAGAGCTGGGCAATGTTGCCTCCATGCCCCTTGGGCTGGGCTCAGAACAGGGGGTTCTTTACAGCTCAGCTGTTCTCCATCTGTCCCTGGCATCTCCTTGTACCCTCTGCCTGAGGACTGTATTTGCATAAATGCTGCTGGCAGCGTGTCTTAGAGCTCTTCCTGCAGCACTGTTGTAGAATGAGTTCAGCCTGTGCTGCAGCCTGTTCTAATTTGAGGCCAGGTTCTGCAAGTGGTTGGGTTTCCTTACATATTTTCCAATTTCATTTTGAATTAGAAATCCTGCAACTGAGAGAACTGTATTATTATATATGTAATCTTTATTCTGTGTGTTTCACACAAATAACAATAAAAAATAAAACCAAAAGAAATTTGGGGTTGAGAATACAGCACTTTTTAATGCAAAACTTAGATCATTTTTATGCCTACTAGTTTGGAGAGCTGCTTCAGACTCCTCTTAAATCCTCTTTTTTCAGTATTAGCAAAATGCTGGGTGTAGCTAAACATATGGCTGCTAAACCAGGATTTTCCAGAAGAATTTTCAGTGTGTGGAGGGTAGCATGGAGGACTTATTTCCAAGCCTTGAAGACTGATTAGAATGGGTTCCTTCCTCCTCCCAGCACAAGAACTCCACTGAGAGACGGGGGAATATTTCGCACTACTTGTACTTATCTTCCGTGTACCAATGTAAACTTTGTGGAATAAGGACCAGCTGTAGTTGTGTGGTGTTGGATTTTCTCCTTTTCTGTAATGCAAATGGTGTTTTTACACTGCTCTTGCTGTATGATCTGTTTAATTTTTATGAGCTTTCATTACGGACATCTGGTCATGGCAGTATAAGCACTTGTAAAGCTGGTAAAGGATCAGGTGCCAGGACTTACATATCTGAATTTGTCTTCTCTATGATATGCACATTTTCATGAGGACAGAAACACCACAGAGAAATACCATTTATTGTCAAACAGCAGTAAGAAGTGGCATGAGAAAGTTTTGCAACAGGATAAATACCCCAAATTATACACTACTTTCTTTTGGAAAGGTTTTTTAAAAATTATTTCAGTACGGCTGCATAAAACAATATAATTTTAACAGGTTTTTGTTGGCTTGCAGTTTGTGTAACTTTTGTAAAATGCACTTTCTCTAGTTACATAGTGGTGTTATGGTCTTGTGATTATAGAATTGCATTAGAAGTATGGAGTGTATGCCAAAAAAAATCAGTGAATTCTCGGCCTGTACAATTCATGAGGGAACATTCAGTTGTTATTTAAGATATCCTGCCCTCACCCCAAATCATGGGATTCCTGTATCACAAGAGGTTTACAAAAAAAGCTCTATTTGTGGCTCATTCTAGCAGAAACTGGAAAAGTGGTGTATGCTTTTACCATTTGTGTGATGTGTGTTATCTCATGATGCTCCATGGAGCATGTGTAAGTTGAACAGTTCTTGGCAGAATCCTTTAAAAAAAAAAAAAGCCAAGGCAGCCTGATGTTAGACTTTTCCTTCAGAATTGCAGTCAACTTACTGTCTCAGAGTTCAGAAAGGAATCTCTATTATCCCTACGCCATTCTCTGTTATCCTTCCAGTTCCCAGTCTCCTCGTAGTGAAGGAGATGATCAAGCGGCTGCAGGAGCTGCGTCACACGGAGCAGGTGCAGAGAGCGTACGCCCTCAACTGCGGAGAAGGCGCCACAGTCAGCTACGAGATTCAGATCCGTGTGCTGCGGGAATTCGGGCTTTCTGATGCTGCTGCTGAACTTCTGCAGGTAGGAAAAGTTGCTGTATGAGATAATGAATTGACTTAATGGTGTAGTGTGCAAGAGGAGCACTGTGTGCAGGTGCATAAGTGCTTTGAAATGCCTGTGTAGCTGTCCAGGTGCAAACACCAGTTGCAGCTGACGTATGTGATTTTATAAATGTGTAAGTGCAATGCATAAACACTTTTCTCAAGAGTTGTTGCCACTCAGGGTGCTCTTACTGATGCAGGTTTTGGGGGTGAAAGAAAAATCTGCCAGAGAGGTAGATGACAAGAAGAGTAGAACTGTAACTTGAAACCTGGATTATTATTCATTCTTGAATTGGAAAGGAGAAAAAGTTGTAACTAATACTGTAGGTCTGCACGGTACATCTCAGGACTGGGAAAACTGGAAATCCCACTTGTGTTTATACACTCCTGTTAAAGCAAATGCTTTTAATGGTCAACTTACATGGTGAATTTGATGCTTCTTGTCTTATTTTAAAAACCATAAATATCTGTATTCTGTGGTAGCTGTGGTTGCCTTGAGTGCTGGTGAGGTTGTAGGTGGTACAACCAGGCATTTACAATACTAATACACTTCTAGTTCCAAAGAGTGTTACGTTAGGAGATTTCTTTCTAAATGACTTCCTACTTTGTCCTGTTACATGCTGGGTTTTTGTCTTTGCAGAATCCTCACAAATTCTTTCCTGATGAGCGATTTGGGGATGAAAGCCCCCTCCTGACAATGAGACAGTCTGGAAGGTGTCGTGTTAACAGCACTCCCACTGCAGAAACCATGTTTACAGAATTGGACTCTTTTGTGGCCTTCCATCCACCACTGCCCCCTCCTCCACCTCCATACCACCCACCAGCAACTCCTATTCATAACCAGTTCAAAGTGGGCTGGAAACAAAGGGTGCCAAGTCAACATCCCTCACGTTCCTTCTCTTACCCTTGTAACCACTCGCTGTTCCACTCCCGCACCGCCCCCAAAGCTGCACCGCCTGTCTACTTGCCTGGTGTGAAGGCAGCGCCTCCTGACTGCACTAACACCACGGGTCTGGGGCGACAAACGGTGGCAGCAGCAGCAGCAGTGATGGCAGCTGAGAAACAAGTGGTAAGTACTGTGATTTCTCCTCCCTGTCTCTGGCCAAAGTACCATAGAGAAGGAGCTGGAGGGAATTCTTATGATGAAGTTGGCTTTGTTAAATAAAAGAGTATTTTTGTTGGTTAGGGGAAAATTTTTCTACCAAACTGACTGTCAGCATTCTACATCCCAAAGGCATCCTAATCTCTGGGAGAATGAATATTCCAAGGGTAGGGGCATTTTTAGAGGGGCAGGTGGCACTCATGCTTCTGAAATCATGGAATCATACAATATCCTGAGTCGGAAGGAATCCAGAGGGATCATTGAAAGTCCAACTCCTGGCCCTGCACAGGACACCATGTGCCTGAGAACATTGTCCAAATACTTTCTGAACTCTGTCAGGCTTGCTACCATGACCACTTCCCTGGGGAGCCTGTTCCAGTGCCCAGCCACCCTCTGGGTGAAAAACCTTTTCCTGATATCCAGACTAAATCACCCCTGACTCAGCTTCATGCTGTTTCCTCTGGTCCTGTCACTGGTCACCACAGAGATCAGTGCCTGCCCCTCCTCTTCCCCTCACGAGGAAGTTGTGGACTGCAGTGAGGTCTCTCCTCAGTCTCCTCCAGGCTGAACAGACCGAGTGCCCTCAGCTGCTCCTCGTGTGGCAAATGTGGTTTGCTCTACACTAAAGCAAAGCATGAGCCAACTTCAGTAGTGGACTGAGGCTGTAATGCACAGGTAGAAGTAGTGATGGTATTGGCTATTCACAGGTAAGTAGTCTGAAGTAAACAGGTTCCCTTTATACATGTGTGAAGAACGTGAAAGCTTTACAACTAGCTGTAAAATATTTGAAAAGGAATAGGAAAGCAGAAATTGGTAATTGCCAATACAAAGGGGTTACAATACAATGTTGCAGCATTTAAAAGCAATAATTATTGTTGCTTAAGTACAATAAGATACAATGAAATCAATGAAATATAAGATTCTGGATAAAGACATAGTTTTTTCACAGCAGAAATAAATTACCAAATTCTTTATTTAGCATTTCCTGTACTTCACAAAACTATCAGTGCATATTTGTGTCATACTGAAAACCTGCACATTAGATGCAGATTTAATCCTTGAGTCCTGAGTGGAAACATGGATTTTATTTTTTTTCCCTTTAGCAATTGTCTTAAATATATTGCACTTCTGTTTATCTTTTAGGTTAAAATACTTCACATTAGAAATGTTTGCCATTGTTTGATCAAGAGTGGGTTTTGTTGCATGTCTCTTTCATTTGATCAATACTGACATCCCTAAGGAAACCATATAGTGATTTTTTTCACATTAGAAATATTTCTGCTGGAATGTTTCCGTAAATAATGCAAGGAGGAACATAGGCTTAATATGAGGGATATTTTTGTTCTGTATTCTTTCTGCAATTTGTTCCTTACTAGTAATCAATGATTACTAAAATTTCCTTTCACTAGAAATTATAAATGCAAGCAGAAATTTTAACTGTCCTGTCTGGAAGGCTGTAGTGACAACATGCATGTTCTGTAGCTTCCCTGCTCTTTAACTCTGTGCTGTAACAAACCATTTGTTAAGTTCTGTCTTCCTTAGTTTGGTAATTGGAAGTGGCTTAAAGCAGGCCTGCCCTTAAGAAGTTTCACAGTACAGTGTCCTTTACTTCATAGTCGAGGCAAGATGCATTTGAAGGGAGCTGTTATTGTGGCACAACAGCTTCATGAAGGAAACAAGCAGGAAGGTGAAGCTTGTTGGGTATACATGTTCTTAAAACAGTGCAGGAAATTTGCAGGCTGAGGTTGGGTAGGGATTAAGAAAATGCCATTTTGAAGTAGAAAAAAACATCCTACATACAGTTTGTGTTTAGCTTTTGTCTTTATTTCCATGGACCAATTTCTTTTCTTTTCCAGTGTACTCAGCCCTTGCTAAATGAACTGATGCCAGATATTGCCATGGGCGTGTCAGCGATGTCTTTGAAGGACAGAAGATTACCAGAGCTCACTGTCGACACAGAGTTAAGCCAGGCGGTTACAGAGGTAGGGCCTGGCCCACCCCAGCACATTTCATGTATTCAGAACAGACACATGCCTACTGCTCGGAAAAAACATGCAATAGAGCAAAAAATAGATGCTCGAGAAAATCCGCAGGAGTATCCTGACTTCTATGACTTCTCCAATGCTGCATGCAGACCCTCTACTCCAGCACCCAACAGGCACAGTCCTTCTCCTTCACAAGGCATTTATTTTGGCCCAGATTTGTATAGCCACAATAAGGCATCACCAAGTGGCTTAAAGTCAGCCTATCTGCCTTCCCAGATATCTCCTAAAAAGCAAGAGGACTCTAGGAGGGAATACCTGCTCTCGCAAGATGGGCATCAACACAGGCAAAAGAATGAGCCAATACACCTCGATGTCTTAGAACAACCTCCCCAGCGACTGGACTTGGCCTTGGCTAACCAGGAAAATGCTGGGAATGGCCCTGTGCACGTCAGGGGAAGAGCAAAAATGGAAACGGATTTAACCTATGGGCTAACCTCCAACAGACCTTCCCTCTCTGCCTACACCTCTGAAATGCCAGAAGAGAGACCCAGTAGGAGACTGGCAGATGATGAGCCATTGGAACATGGAGCACAGAGAAACGCAGATTTGGAAAGGGAAGATGCAGTAAGCAGAGGAAGGAGGTCTCCCAACAAACCAGACTTCCTGTACAAAAAATCTGCCCTATGAAAGCAACCTCCACTATTTCTCTGTGCCTAAGAGTTGTAAACATCCCATTCCTTGCAACTTTTGGCCTGACTTCTGTCAGACAAATTCCTTCATGCCAGCAGAAAAATTCAGCTTTGCTCACTTCTTTTGTACATACATTGCTTTATTAGAGACAGCATGTTATCAGTTTTGTTTTAATGCTGCTTCTGGTTTTATTTTGTGGGAATTTTTTTTTTTTGAGCAGATTTAATTAAGCCTTTTAAAAAAAAAACCCACACAAAACTGGTACCTTTTTTCTACAACCTGGTAGCCTTTTGCACCTGTACATCTATTTTAGTGTTATTAGTTTTGTACTAATATGTTAAACTTTAATGTCACATTTAAAGGACTGTATTTTCATACTTTTGCATTTACCCTTTCACCTGCCGATTCCCTATGTGCATTGGATTGCACATTATGAAATGTATTTTCTTATGAGATAGTAACAACCTGTTTATTTTTTAATTATAGGAATTCCAAAGAACAGCACATCAAAAAACCTACATTTTTAGTTAGATCTTTTTGTTTGTTTGTTTGGATCTGAAATCTTCCTGATTTTTACAACTATGGCAAGAATCCAGTCCAGTGTTTTGGTTGAAAAGTTCTGGCAGCTGGTCTTACCCTTACATAGATAGCAAACCCACTTCAAGAATTACATTTGGGTTTTTAAGAGCTCAGAGGGAAATTTAGGAGTCCAAATTCCAGGGAATTCACTGGAATATGACAACTTGAGTCTGTTTGCTTGTGGTTCGGTGTGCCCATGGAGAACTCCATGATCACCCAGAAGCACTTGCTAGACAGACTAGAATTGTTGATTTGCCCGTGCAGAGATAAATCTAGAAATACTATAAAAATGATAGTAATTACTTGTTCTTCCAGCTGCTCATACGTGGGGATAGTGAAGACCAGATTTGTGGATTCCTGCTGACTCGGAGTGTCAGGAAGACAAGGCATAGTCCACAACCTTCGCTGTTGCCTGAACATGAGGGAGGGTTCCCTCTCCCGGAGGTGCCGAGGTGACTGTCCATTGCCTTGCTTTCTCCTGCCCACGGTTACAAAAGGGCTTCACTCTTGGATATCTTTCAGTGTTCCTTACCTGATCTCGTGTGTCGCTGACTCCGTGATTGCAGCTCTTCTGGGAGCAGAATCCTAGTGAAGAGTCTCTGCTTTAGCATCATGACAGGTGTGAAGCTTTAGCACTCTTAAATTATGCCTCCATTTCCTGAGTTTGCTTTTGGAAAGCACAGAAATGAGATGTGAGGAGGGAATGATGGTGATCTGGGCTGGCTCCTGTCCCTGGGGTGGGGTTCAGCAATGCCCCGGGGGGGAATGGTTGCAGTTATGAAGTGCATCCTTAATACTCACTGTGCAGTTCTAGCAAGAGATTCATTGCATTCAGGATAGGGATCTGATGCCACTGCAGTGTAGTGATTGCTGGTAAAGGCCTGTTTGGGGGTTTTAAATGCAGTTTCTATAATAAATTTCCCTGCAGTAGAACACTTTAGTACCATCTGTGACCTAAGGACTTCTTTAAGGTTATGTTGAGTGGATTCCTGCAGCTCAAAATTTCTTAATACTGTTTTAACAGAAATCTTGCTGCAACTTTACTTTTGGTTTTAGTTGATGGCAGACTCTTAACTAATGTGTTTCATTAAAGTATGCTGCGTCTCTTGCATATGCATCTGTAAACCTCCTGCTTTTATGGAAGCTCTGCAGATGCTCCTTTTGAGATGCAGCCATGGAAAATGTGGTGTAGGATTGGAGCAGAAACTGCGCAGGTGATGTGTCTTGTGGGTGAGGGGAGATTTCTTTCTTTTTTACCTCTGTCAGCCTTTTTTAAGCTGTTTTTTTGCCCACAGTCAAGGCAGTTGGTGATCCTGGCTTCATCACCTGTATGTGGGATTTCCACGGGACTGCAGTGTAGAACGTTGATAAATGCAAGGTGTCAGTGTGGGGGTGGTGCTGCTGCAGATTGGGGACTGAGGTTCATGGGGTTTCTTGTGAAGATCCGAGCACGGTGCTATCCAACTGCATAGCTGTAACCGCACACGAGGGTCTCATCCTCGCCAGAAGCGTTAACTTTCATCTCGCACAAGAACCCTGAAACTCCCTGCACTTGCATCGTGTGTGTTGGCGGCTTAGTTACTAAAAAGTTAGAGCTGTCCTCAGAAGACTGATTATTCTGAATAATTTATTTTTACCTAAAACCGATAGATGTACTTCAGGAAAACTATTTTAGTTATCACCGTTTGATGTGGCACTGTGTACCTGGACAGAGGTGGGGCTGATAAAACAGATAAAACTTTAAGGCTTGAAATTTTGTAGGGGTTTGGCTGATGAAGACAAGAAGTTTTGAGGTTATGGTTTGAGGAAAATCATGAAATGCTATGGCTTTTGAATAAGCTGGTGAGAAATGCCTCAGGGGAGGACATGTCTGCATTTTAGAATATAAAATTGCTTCTGAAGTCTCAGGAGCTGAGCAGTATTCAAAAAAGAATCAAGTGTTTAAAAGTAGGTGCAGAATGAAAGACAAGTCTTTCTGAGGCCACAGAGACAATCAGGCCATGTAGACAATCTGTTTTCACTTGTATATTTTGAGTTGGGAAGAAGATGGCAGCTAATGGCAGCTGATTTGAAGAGGAAAAGAAGGATTTGTTGAGTTACTGGAACTGGACTATTTTACTCCAGTGTCGGATTTCCTATTTAGTTGGATGTGCAGAGGGAGGGGAGAAACCATCTTTTCTTGGAAGCATTATTCAGAAGCCAGTGTTCATACGACATCTCACTCGCACAACATGCGTACCTGTGCTACCTGCTACTTCTTGTTCTCTGTCTACTGAAACTTTGGTGCAGAAGCTCCTTGTTTACATGAAGCACTTTCTGATTAGGCTGGAAATTGACACCTTTTCCTCCTATAAATTAGATGGAGATGACAGATTACTGGCTATTTTGCTTGGATAGAGGTATAAACGTTGTTTTCTCGAATGAGGGAGACTCGTGCTCCTTGTTCTATTAGAGAGAGAGCTCAGACTTGCATTTAGTGAGCAGCATGCAAAAACTTATTCCCTTTTCCCCAAGTACCCTTTCTCTTTTCCTTAATATATGGATGAATAACTTAATTCCTGAAACACATTCTTTCCTTTAAAATGTTTTGTTGTTCTACGGAATTGCTGTAGTTGTGTTTAAGTAACTGCTGTGTTGATTGGCAGTTTCCTGTTGTATTTTTCCTGTTCTTAAGGAGTTTCTCTTATGAAAATTAAGGCTGTGGCCACCTGTACTTGTAAAGCCTTGGGTTTTAGTTATGGAACGTCCCAAATGTTTGTCTTAGGTTTTTCTTTGGTCTGAGTTTGGTGGGAGTTTTGAGGGGGTTGGGTGTTTAATTTTGTTTGGATTTTTGGTTTGTTTGTTTTGGTTGGGGTTTTTGGTTGGGTTTTTTGTTTGTTTGTTTGTTTGAAAAAACACTAAAGCTGTTTGAGGCACTGTTCATTCTTCTAATAATTCTATGCTTCTATGGTAGAGGTGGTGCTGAGCCCTGTGGGATACAGGGAACAGCTGAGAGGGAAACTTGTAAAACCGCACTTGGGGTTTCTGTAATTACCTGTACTGCCAGGAGGCAGCCCTGTCTTCGGCAGCATTATGGATTTGTTTCTTGTCCTTGTGTTGTTACTGGTATAAAGTCAAGTGCCTTCAATGCTAAAGGCTCAGAAAACTTTCTTAAACTGACTTCATGTCCTATGCAAGTGTTTTTTCTACAACCTGCATAACCAGTACTTTGTAAAACTTGTTTACGCTTCAATTGTACATAGTGTTTTTAAAAAAAAATAGTATTTTTATTTAGGTACCTCCAAACTTGAATTCTAGTCTTGTGTGATGCATTGTAAAACAATACATTTCTCTTTTGAGTACCATTACAGTTGTAAAAAGGTTTTCACTGGTTCTATTTTTCTACTGTTGCTGAGAAGCATGTAACACTGACTTTATCCTACGTATAGTTGGCATTTCAAATAAATGGCTTGTATAGAACGTGCTTGTGTGGCTGCTTCCCGTGAACTGTGACCAGCAGTGCTGGGCTGGCTGCACCCACCACCCTCCCTGGCTCACTCCAGGCAGAGCAACACAAACAGAAAGGTGCCCTCTGACTGTAAAGGCTCCTCAGACTGACAGGGTTTGTTCCTCCTGGGGAAAAAAAGTACCCAATAATGCTTTGAACATCAAACACATGATATAAACCAGTGAGGCCATTCCCTGTGGAAGAGCTGGGGCTGTGGGGCACAGCTCTGGATCCAGGAAGTGTGGCGTTCAGCTGGACAGACACATTTAGTACCCAGCACTCCCAAGTTGCAGTTTTGCTGCACTGGCTGACTGTTCATTACATCTCATTCACAAAGTGTCTCACTGCTTCCAAGTGAGGACTGAAGTTCAGAAGTGTCATCCAGTCGCTTGACTGGTCTTACTTTGATGTACAAGAGCAAAATTCTGTGAGTTCTGTCCTGACACAGAGCAGAGGTGGGTGGGGAGAGGGAGCACTGTATGGTCCTGAATGTTAACTACTGCCACCTTCACTCCCACATCCAGGAAGACGAGTTTTAGGAGCTTCCTAAATTAGACAAATCTGATGTTTTTTGTTACAGCTTTCTGTTCATTTTACAACAGTGCGCTTAAGCCTGCTAAGTCAGGGGAGAGGGGATGTCTGATGCCTCTTTGCTGGGGGGAACCTTTAGGCATTGGAAAAGGGGGATTGTTGAGGCTGGGTCCCTTCAGGTGAAACCCCTCAGGACTGCCACTGCAGTGCTCATGGTCAGTGCTGACCCCGTGCTGTGCAGCTGGAGCCACAGTAATTCCTTTCTGTGGAAATTACATAACTGATTCAGAAGACTTCCTGCATTTCAACTCCTCACTCCGTACACCACTGCTGTCCTTGCTTGAGGGTGATCTGTCCTTGTTCAGGGTGATCTGAGCTCAGAGCTGGAACCCAGGACAATGATTGTCTCTGGGCACCCTCACCCCTTCAGTGAACTACAAAAATGGCAATACAGAGCAAACATTCCCCCCATCCTGCTTTTTTCTCCTGCTGTAAACGGTATTTGCTGGCAGGATGCAATTGTTTCACAGCTGGGTTAGGAAGAGGCAAAGGTCTAGGAATCCAAAGCTTCCCCCAGCCCCCAGGATGTATCTTGGTCATCACTGGGCTCCCTGTGTCTGCCTGGATCTTTGGAAACAAAACAGGAGAGCAGCACTGAGAAAAAACAAGACAGTACAGATTGAACAGTTCTTTAATTCTTTTTATATTGTAGTTAGAAGTGCAGTTACAACTCCTGTAACAGTTGCTACCAAAAAAAAGCATGTACAATACCTGGAGTTAGATTTAAAAGCAACTAGGAAAGGGACCTGAGGCTTCTGATCAATGGCAAGTTGGAATGAGTCAGCAGTGCCCTGGCAGCCAGGAGGGCCAACCCTGTCCTGGAGGGCATCAGGCAAAGCATCGCCAGCTGGTCAAAGGTGGGGATTGTCCCGCTCTGCTCAGCAGTGGGGCAGCCTCACCTGAAATATTGTGGCAGTTTTGGGCACCACAATATAGGAAAGATATTAAGCTATTGGAGTGTCCAAAGGAGGGCCAGGAGGATGATGAAGGGTCTGTAGGGGAAGCCATAAGAGGGGCAGCTGAGGTCACTTGGTCTGTTCAGCCTGGAGGAGACTGAGGAGAGACATTGTGGCAGTCCACAACTTCCTCACAAAGGGAAGAAGAGGGGCAGGCACTGATCTCTTCACTATTGTGACTAGTGACAGGACTGGAGGGAATGGGCTGAAGCTGAGTCAGGGGAGGTTTAGGTTGGATATGAGGGTGGTTGGGCACTGGAACAGGCTCCCCAGGGAAGGGGTCACAGCCCCAAGCCTGACAGAATTCAAGAAGCATTGACAATGCTTTCAGGCACATGGTGGGATTCTTGGGGTGCCCTGTGCAGGGCCAGGAATTGGAACTGATGATCCTGATGGGTCCCTTCTACTTCGGCATATTCTATAATTCTATGAAACAGATGAGCTGAGCCTCTATGCTACAACTAGTTTTTTTAAATAAAGTGGTCAGAAACAGTTAATAGTGAGAATGATAAAGGTCTTTGTTCTTAAAAATCATTAACATAGAAGCAGAATAGTATCCCATGGTATAGAAATCCTCAAAAACTAGAACTTTAATGTATGTTTTGGGGGCTGAGGATAAAGAAAATTAAAAACTACATCAGGCTTCAAAAATTACAAAAAGTCAATTCCTAATTGCAGCTAAGTGTAGAGTCTTAAAATTCAATGAAATATCTCCCATGCTTATCACAGTGGTTATAAAAAGATCATGTTTCATACTGTAGCAAAATACCAGGATGCTGCAGGGTTTTCAGCAACATTTATGAAGTAGAATAATTTGCTGTAGGCTAGTGTTTGAAATCAAAGCACATTACAAGTCCTATAACAAACCCCCCATGCTTAGTTTGTAACCTCCTCCTAGATATTGTTTATATTCTAATAAGTGAATTGAGATCATGTGACAATTTTTTTCATGTAAAACATCACTGTACAACATTAGAAACAGGTTTCTTAATGTATAAAACCAGACAGAACATTCTGTTGCATCAAGGCCACCCCTGATTCCCCATTTCTGACCTGCCCAGGGAGCGCTTCCCCAGCGGTGAGCGAGCAGGCAGCAGTGACTGACACGTGGTTTGGCTGCCCTGGAGGGACCCGTGGGGTGACTGTGCCCGCTCCAGCCGCGGAGGAGCCACGAGCCCTGCGCAGGAACGGACACCTCCTGGGCACAGGGAGCCCTGGCCAGAACTGCTGCACCCCACAGGGCGAGACAGAGCCGTTTACAGCAGGAAAGCACGGAGCACGACCCCTGCGCTGCACCGAGGGGAGGGCAGGGCAGGCAGAGCCCACCTGGGTTTAGCACAGCCTACAGCTCTAGGCACTGACAGGAGGCTAAAGGGTGAAAGGCTACAGGGAACAAAGGGTGACACACTGTTCTGGGAACAAGCCAACTCTCCGTGGAGACAAGGCTAGCTTTTGTGGGAATGCAAAGTCGATCAGTACCAAAATCCCTCTAACTGCAATGGTAAGAACCTGTTAAGAACATGTTTTAGTCGCTACAAATAAAGTATGAGACAAAATGAAGATGTTTCTTGGACAGCTGGATTTTGATGAGAAGCCGATATACTGAGATACTGAAGATGCCTCTTCTGTTTGCCAGTGAGTATTGTTTTCCCAGTTGTCCTTTCAGACCCAAACCCTCTCAGTCTAACTACAGTAGTACTGCATCCTGTTAGTCCGTCGCCTTTTCCGTGACTGAAACTCTTCAAAGAAGTGCTGAATGTCTTCTCTTTTAACCACCTACAAGAGCACGAAACCCAAGCTTTGGTGTGGTGCAAGAGCTCAATTAAAGGATCCTGTTTTATCCCCACATGCAAATACACAGAGCACAGAAAAGCAAATATCCTCAAGTTTCTCTGATACAGCTTTTCTGTTGCACCCAAAGGAGACGATTAATGCCCAAATTATACTACAGAGAATAAAAACAGGGAAAGGAGTTCCCCTAAGGCAGAACAAAGACATGGAGCAGAGCTCCCAATGGTACTTTAATGGCTTTGACCCCTTGCTTTTACCATCAGAAAATTTAACACAAAGCAAGATTTTCATTAGCTCACTTCGGGCTCATATCCAATGTAACTAAGAATGGCAATACAGCAAATCTGCCACCAAAATGCAAGTGCATAATACCATGTGAATAATACCATGTGCATTCCTGCAGGAAAACAACTGACAAGACTGACACTCATAGGTAGTCCTTATTCTTCTAAGGGTTGAAATTCAATCTAAGAAAAAACCAGAAAATTTAAGAGCTCTTTTCCCTGAATACTTTTCCTAGAGCAATAGGAGTTTCCTTTAGATGTAAGAACTGCTCTTAGTACTTTGAAGACAGATTCCTGTAAAGTCCCTGTTACCTCTCAGCAATGTCATTAAGGAAATACAACTGTTAAACTCCAATGAAATCAGGAATTTCTAATTTCTACTGCAGCACCAGCAACTCCAAGAGACAGGAAAAAATATTACAACACAGCAGCACAGTATTCAGCACCCAGCCCTCAATAATTCTTTAAAACACATTTTCTGGCAAACAAATTCTAGAAGTTGTCCCTTACCGTTCCCTCATCTGCAAACCTCCTGAGATAGTCCGTCAGTTCCGTCTTTAAATCATTGTATTCTGAATGGCAAAGCAAAAGCAAAGCAAACAAAAAAAAACCAGTAAGATATCCACTTTTAGTTTAACACTAGCTCAAGCAACTTGTTCTACTCCTTCTTGTCACTTCAGACAAATCTAGGCTTGAACTTCATTATAAATAATAAAAAAGACAAGTCCAGGTAAACATGAGAAGCCTAATAATTTATAAGACTAACCTTTGCAGTGTGTCTGTTTGTGTTGATTTCAGAGCAATGTATAGAGTTCAGTGAATGAATTAGTACAATTAATTAAAAGACTGCCCCTGCTCCCAGCTTCCCACTGCAGAAGCAAACGTGGGTCGTGGTGGAAAGTCCCAGCCTGTAACTCAGGACTGGCCAACTGTCCTCTCCAGAGTGCCCTCGCTGGCAGAGGGAAACACAGCTCCAGGTATAAAATACCTCAGCACTGCTTTGTCAATATTCTCTGCAGCAAAGCTGCAGGAACACCTGACTGGCACTCTCAGCCAGGATATTGCCAAACAGCAGAACAGGGTAAGATAAATAATCCAGACAGCATAAGTGCAAATTAACGTTAAATATACACATTAAATACATTACAATCAATACAATACCTAAGATGTTAAACAAGGAGAAGTTTCCCACACCACCTAGTGTCTCTTCTTATGCTGAAATTGTAACAACAGGCCAGAGAGGACCAAGTTCTCCAGAGTAATCCTGACTGAGGTGTGCAACCTGTCAGTTGTCTGCATGTTACTTCAAAAATAGTTTTGACACTACACTGCAAGACCTGACACTAATCTCCCGTGGGAAGTTGTTCAGTTAAAGTGTTAAGGCAGATTCTAAAAAGGAAGTTGTATTTACCACAGATGAGTTCCACTTGCTGGACTCTGTTCATGCTGTTAAGGGTGTCCATTAAAGGATCTCTTCTCTCTGTCTCTTGGTCACTGGTACCTTTATTTTCGTAAGCCAAGACAGTGTCACATTCATCTGTCAGGAACTGGACTTCAAGGTCTGAATACATTTTCTGGAGAATGAAGTAAAATTTACTTTTATGTGACAAAACTTCTCAGATGTAGACGCTCTCCCCCAATCCTTTTTGTGTTCAAGGTCACAAATAACAGGAATTATCAGGTAAAGTTGTATCCAGCATTTCAGACATTTCCCCATAACAACTTCCAAAGCAATACTAGATTTAATAATAATGGCCAGTCTTCGCGAGCGAAGATCCGGGGAAGGTCTTTACACCTTCCAGCCTGCGCATTGGATTTTTTAGGTGAGACACAGTGTGCGCGGAACTGAGCCCACCCTTTAATCCTAAGGTTCATCTGCCGGGGCCAAGCGAGCTTGGACGGTGGCAGCGAGGTCCTTAGGACGTAGGTGGGTTGCCTTTAAGGGCTAACGAGCCCCACCTGCCCGGGAGTGGCCCTGACCGGGAATCGAACCCCGGTCTCCGCGGTGATAGCGCGGCGCCTTTACCCCTAGACCACCAGGGGCTCCAATACTAGATTTAAACAGCAAAGAAAATACAAATGTTTAGAAGCTCCTTTGTGCTATATTAATTCACAGGATTCAGTGTGTTTCTTTATGTGGGGTGAAGGGGGTTTTCGGTGTTTATATGCAGAGTGAGAACATTTGCGGATTTTACCTAAAGCTCTTCAAAGATTCTCTGGGAGCTCCTCCCTGCCTGTCCCAGATCAGTGGTGGCAATGAAGGGAGCATACATACCAAACAGTCTTCACAGGTGCATAATTTGCTCCTCCAGTTCGATGGCCAAAAGGTGGCAGTATCTTTTTTTAAGAATGGCTTGCTTTGGAGCTCCTTCAGCTTGCAGACTGGCTCCTCACTCTTAGTAACTACCTGAATTAAAATGAGACTGTTCAGCACATTATAACATCACTTCAAAGACACTCTGTTCTTTCTGGCATGTCCACTTCCTTAGGTAAGATTTTTCTTTTGTCTCAAACAAACACATTTATTTTTATAAAAGAACTCTATTACCATCCACATGAGGATTCTGATGTGGTTTTAGCAATTTCCACTGGAAATTTCTGTAGAACTTTCCTGTAATAGCCATAAGTGTTTAAGAAGTCAGAGCTGGACCATCACACGAGCAGTTACAACACATAATACCCCTGCATATGAACAAACAGAAGTCCCCTCGGTGTCTAGGCCAGTTGGCTGACAAAAAGCGACAGATCTAATCCATCTGCAAACAGACACTACATCCTTGGACAGCCCTATCCCACATCCTACACTGTGCTCCACAGAGACTGCGTGTCTGAAGTGTCAGTGACTGAAGAGGAACACGGGAACAGACGGGATGCATTCACCCCTTCCCTGAGCCTGTGCAGAGCGAGGTGGGCTTCACCTCACCTATCAGCAGTATGAAGCTGTGCAGGTCAGAGAAGAAGGGACATTTTACCTCGGGACAGGCAGACCCAGAGCTGGTGGATGGTTCATTAAACTGTTCCGTTTGCTTTTCCTCCTTCGTATCTTGGAGTTCCACTCCGCTTTCTTTTTTTATTTCTTTCTTCTGCTCTTCGCTTTCCTCAACCTTCAGGACAATCCCTTCATCTTCAAGAGAGTTCACTTTGGTCAAAGGAGGAACTGGAAGATACATACACACATAAGTGAAATTACTGTGCCATACAGGCCACCACAGACGTTCTCTCTGCTTCACAGTGCAGTGTTGGAGAGCACCTCGACCACCTCATACACTGCAAGGTCCTGGATACACTCTAAGCTGCCCAAACACACAGTGACTGAGGTATAGAAAGAAACTGCTCCTTCTATCACCATAGTCTCCTTCACATCTCATACCCCATTCTAAAACACTCTTCTTCCCAAAATCTAGGAAGCCCTATGAGAGGGAAGAGGGTATCACAGTTTAGGATCTCCTGATTTGTTTTACCTGCTAATTGCGATGCATAAGCCCATAGGAAATGGCAATGCTTCATGCAGGCCTGGCACACCATTTCATGGAAGTCTCCACTTTCAGGGGGAACTGCACCAAGATGCTGTCAGAAACAAACAAGCACTCAGTAGTGAAGCATCGGCTGCAAATTAAAAGACTCAACTCCAGGTTTAGAAGAAGGAAAACATCATCTGCCATCACATTTTCAGTACAAGCAAACACTCTTGTTAACTTTCTACAATGATTATTAGAACAGTGTAAGGACTGGAAAGAGCTGATAAAAATTCCGGGGAAAAACTCAAAATAATTCTGTTTGCCTACACCCTTTTATGCCTTGCACATACCCAGAAATCTCATTTCTAAATAATATTCTGCTAAACTGTCCCAAACATAGGAAAGGTGAAGACAGCTCTTGCATGCTGCACATTTCGACTCTTAAATGACTTTTTACAATTCCTTCCTTACGTGTAAAAGATTGTAAAGTCTTCATACTGATGACATATGTAACTCAAGAATTAGCTCCCAAAGCTCTCCATAAACTCGTGAGAACTATTTGGGCAATCAAAAGCACTTAGTGGCTTTCTTTTGAAAAGCATTCCTTCAAAGCTCAGTGCGCAGCACAAAAGTCTTCATTCACACACTTACACAAAACAATCCAACAGTTTATCTACAGAACACAGAACTGAAGCCAATCATCTTTTTTTTTTTTTATTCTTTGATCTTGCAACTTCAAACATGACATTTCACTCGTGCCCTTCAAGGCACAAGAGGCTGAATTCTTACTGCTTACCCATTAAGTAGGGCACTCACCACAGCGCTGGGCTGCTTTTAAAACATTTTCCCAAAGTTCCAAATCAGGAACAAACAGCACAGTCTGTTCCTTGCTACTTAAATGAATTAGAAGTTTAAAAGGTATTATTTTGAATGAAGAACTATTCAGGTAGTTGATAATGATGTGCCTCAGTAAGAATCTTTTCCTCACGGACTGTACTGATTTGAGTTTTCCAGTTAAGGAGACAGCTATAAAGGTATTACTTTATTCCAAAGTGGTAACCTTCAAAAAGGTAGGACTCTTCCCTGTGTTTCTGGACTGGACAGCAGTGCAAGATTAGACTTCCAATGTTCCTTTGCATGGGATGAAAACAAAATACCCTAAAACTCATGTAATAATCTGTTTTGAGAATTACAGCTAACTCCCCAAGTAAGAACAACCACACAAAACTAACCAACATTAACTCATTTTTGTGCAAATGGCAATTCTGCTATTTATGGTTTCCTTACCCTTCCATGGAACCAGTCTTCACAAACTATGCATTGGATCATCTCATCTGGAATCTAGATGAACAGTCATATTATTAGCATTAATAGCAGCCTCCAGAATCTTTCACAAGCCTCAAACTGCAGTATTATATAAAGTCTGCTCGAGTGAATTGCATTTCCCTCTTCACCCCCCACAGGGAGCTGCCATTAATAAGTAGTTAGTGCTTCACTAGTCAGTTTGTTTCCCCCAGGTTCAACAGCTCATGTCATGTGTCATATTATTAAGGCTGTGGAAATTCCCATTTATTATTACAAAACCCGTTTTCCCAGCAGGGCAAGACTTTCTCACAAAGAGCTGATAAAAGTTAATACACTACTTGTATCTTTCTTCCTGCAAACAGAAATGCAGAAATGAATAGGCAACTCAACAGAAGAAAGATACTGATACTCATGATGTCATCAGGACTGTATAGGAATGCCAGAACTTAACTGGTCACAATGCAGCACAGTACAAACTGCTTTGTTATGACGCAATTATTAATGAACCTCTTCAGAAACATTCAGCTATCTCTGCACTTCAGAGAGGCGAGCTTATAAAATACTTTTGTTCATACGTGAAAGACTTGTGCCTTCCTTATTCTTTAAAACACCTGACGTTTGTGGTCGCAAACAGCACGTGCAAACCCAGTGCTGCATTTTAGTACTTCAAACAGAGAAAAAGTGTTCTGGCTACTGTAAAGCCTTGTGAGAGCACAGCTGCAGGCACCAGAAGCAGGTTCTGGTCTCTCCTAACACGTGCAATGTGTTTATTCTGCACTAACACGTTTCTCAAGATGATGAGAAACCCATCCCCTGAGGGAATTCTGCAACTCCAGAGAGGGGAAAGTAGAGAACTGCAGCACCACTTTGTCCAAATGATGGTTTGTCCTCCTCATCTGCCTTTAAGGCATATACATTTTACCATCCAAAAAAAAAGAAAAAAAAGAGTTAATTACTTTATACAGCACATGACAAACAATACGGAACTTGAAATTTCTTAAAGTGGGATCCTCCTTACAAAGCAGCTCAGTGACCACCCTTTACACAATATCTTGCACAAATACCATCTATATATGACTGCTACTGTGGTTTGTATTTCTTACCTCATCTTCAGGATCAGGATACGGTCTTTTACAAGTACAGTATAATCCATAGAAATTGTCATTATATTTATTTCCAGCATTCACCTTGCCCTTTTCCTGGGAGGAAAGGAAGAAGTGTCTTAATAGACAATGCAGTAAAAAACAAAAGACAGAAAATATGTATTATCTGGGAAAAAAACCAATTTCTGTTCCACTTTAAGTCCTAAAAGCAATCATTACATTCATTAGCCTGAATATCCAAGAAGAATCATCCAGACACCTGTGCTGTAAAGTGAGTTACAGACAGGGCATGTGAGGAATGCTGAAGTTCAAAAGCAAAGAGGAAAACAGTCTGCCCGTCTTTGTAACAACTGGCAACTGTGGTGTCAAGACAGATTAATGGACAAAAGGTGAAGTTCACTTAACCTGTACAACTGATTTTGCACTGGACTGATGAAGAAGGAAAAACCACTTGATCCATTTCATTGACTTAAATGAGAAATGGCAACATGTTAAACTTGTCACACCTGTCTCTGCAGGGATCACTGCACTGCAGCTTAGCTGACTAGCTCTGGATCCCTCCCAGTTCTCCCAGCATAACGTGGACATACACAGAACTACTGTCTTGTTTCTGTATTTGGACTGTTATTATCCTAGAAGCAACACTGCAGGCAAGCTAAGCAGCGTCCTGTCACTGCTTCACTTATTACCAACTACTTGACAAGTTCAAACCACCCAAGTATGAAAGCACAGGCACCTTAGTACAGTAAAAAACTATACTATCAGTAGGCTCTGGTGACAACCTATCAAAAAATATTAGGGTACTAATGCCACCACAAAGAAGGAAAGGACACTGTCCCTTTGACAGCAGCACAGGCTTAAATCTCCTTAATGCAACTGCAAAACTGCAGCCCAAAAGATTCTTCTGAAACCAGCTTAAAACTAATGAGATATATTAATGCAGACACCTCAACATGGTGCTGGCAGTGCAGCAATTGCTGCATTCATGGATGACAAGGACTAAACGTTCCCTCTCCTCCCAACATTTCCCTTTGGTCCCTCAACAGTTTTATCTCCCGCTGTAATACTCCCACCTTCCTTAACTTGCCAGGAAGGTTGGAGGCGTCGCATGAGTCAGCACCGGCTGAGGAGAGGCACCAACCTCCCAGGAGTGTGTTATTTTGACTCCGACCGTCTGAAAACCCGCCTGAACTCACCGGGAGTAACTTGCACTGCAGATTCTTGAACTTGCTATTCCCACAGTCACAGCGGAAATTCCTGGAAAGAAAAACGCAGCGTTTCAGGGGGTTTTATTAACCGAGAACGCTCTGGGTTTTGTGTTCTTAACAATCCCCAGGAGTTTATTGGGAGCCACGGGATCTGTGAGGGACCCGCCGGGAGCTGAGGGGGCGCGCGCTTCCCGCCACCGGCACGCGAGCCCCGCCCCGCCCCGTCCCGTCCCGTCCCGTCCGTACCTCTTGGTGTACAGCTCGAACAGCCGGTGGGTGCCGTGGCACTCGTAGCTGCAGGCCAGGCAAATCCCCGCCGGCTCCGCGCCGGGCGGCGTGCAGGTGCCGCAGGCGTACAGCGCCTGCCGCTTCACCGCGCCCTGCGGGAGACACCGACCGGCCCCGGCATGAGGGGGTGCCGGGGAGAGCTGGGGGAAGGATGGGGGGCGGCCCCGCCTCGCGCCCCCGCCCCTCTGTCCCAGCCCGCCCCGACTCTCGGCCCCGCCCACTCACCCAGCCCGCGGCCCCCGGCCCCGCCCCCACCTGTGAGTAGCTGCAGCGCTCGTGGTCGCTGCCCCCCAGCACGGCCCGCGCCTCCTTCTCCAGCTCCTCGTTCTCCGCCAGCACCTCCGCCAGGGACACCACGGGCTCCTCGGCGCCGCTGCCGCCGCCCGGCTCGGCGCCCTCGGGAGCCGCCGCCTCCATGTCCGGGCTGCGCGGGGCGCGGAGCGCGGCGGGAAACGCGCGCGCGGGGAGGCGCCAGGGGGCGCCACGGCGGAAGCGGAATCGCGCGCGTCCCACGTGACGGGGGGCGGTTCGGCGGGGCCGGGCGCGCGGCGGGCACGTGACGGGTGGGGCGGGCCCGGCGCGTGGGCGGTGATGGCGGGCCCGGCGGGCGGCACCGACCTGGCGGCCGAGCGGGCGGGCGGCGCCGAGCTGGTGGCCGAGCTGCGGGGCCGCGACGGGCGGACGCGGGCCGTGCGGGTGCCCTGCCCGGCGGCCGAGGGCGGCGAGGCCGCGCAGCTGCGCGGGCTGCGGGGGGCCCTGTCCGAGCTGCAGGAGCGGGTGGTGGAGCTGCTGGCGCCGCTGGTGCAGGAGGAGCGGGAGGCGGCGGGCGGCGCCCAGCGCGGTGAGTGGCGGAGCGGGCGCGGCCGGGGCGCTCCGCCGGACCCGCGGCGCTGCCCGCCGCTCACCCGACACAACCCCGGCAGGTGCTGTCGGGGATGACGGTGACGACGAGGAGGAGGACGAAGAGGATGAAGGGGAGGACGAAAACAACGTGGACACGGCGGCGAGCGGCGATGACCCGCCCGCGAAGCGGACTAAGGTGCAGCAGCCGTGAGGGCGGCGCTGGGGCCGGGTGTGCGCTTAGACAGCCCCGCTCTGCTGAACAGACTGTCGGTGACCCGGGCCCGGGACGGCTCCTGCGGCGCTGCTGCTCCTCTTCTAAAACCGAAATGCCCATCCCGACACTGTTTTGATACGGAAGCCGTATGGAAAGGATGCGCCTGGGCGTGAGCAGCATGTTATTTATGGGGTGCCAGTGTTACACTGACAATAGTTTTTAGCAAACTAGTTGACAAATACAAAACTTTTCTTACAAGTCCGGTTGCTGCATTTTTTATCGACTTCTTCCAAGTCACAGTATTTCTTCATGTGACTTAAACTTTTAAAATAAAACAGTAAAGTCTGGAAAGTTATTTTGTCAGATATGATCTTAAAATGGTACAAGAGAATTTGCATGGAGAGAAAACAATATATGACCACTGTACTGTCAAAATTAAAAAGCATGTGTAGGACTCACTATTCCTGTACAGTGGAAGATTATTTTTGCCTGTCTGAAAGGCTTAGTCACCCATCAATCAAGTATTTTCCTGGAAGAGGTCAGACAAAGTAGATTGAAAGACTTGGGAATCTTGATTTCAAAAACTCAGGTTTTGTATCAGCCAGGAAAGTGACCAGTCAGTGTGACTTTGATAATTAATATTACAGAAGTCAAAAACCACTGTTTGTCCTAAGCCCGTTTTCTCCAAATAGGTTTTCCCCACCCCCCTTTCTTTTATGCAGCATTCAGTCTTTATATACTTACTTCCATCACTGAGTTTTACCCAGGTTGATTTTTAAACTCATTTGGTAGCTAAGTCAAAGGAACATCACAGCTTAACGTTCTCCTCATGCAGAACTCCCGACATTACCTAAAATCAAGAAAAAACAAAAGCAGAGTGATTTTTCTGAGATGCTTTTTAAAACCAAAATTGGACATAAACTAAAGGAAACGTAGTGGAGTTCTATACTGGTTGCTGTAATTTATTTTAGAGGGGGGGAAAGTATAAACACTTGAGCAACACCTGCGAGTACATTATGTGTAACAGTTCTTGGCTGTATCAATCAGTATAACCCAATCCCTCTGCTAAGGCTGCATGATCTTTTTTTAATGGTAATGCAGTAAGCAGAATGTCTTTTTGCAAGGGGCAAGTTGTCAATGCTTCCCACATGCTACTTCAGTTCGTAATTTTTGTTTGGTGCATGCTTCTGTGAACTGGTATAAAACACTCCTGATAGCCAGTCCATAGAGACTAAGAGTCTTCTCTAGCAGAAGTTAACTGCCTGATTTAATAGTGGGAAAAACATTTTGGGGGTTTATTTTTATATGTTTTGCTGGTATAATTTTTTTATGTATTATGGAGAGTGAAAATATCTTGGGACTTGTATACAGGGGACAAAATATGGGAATAAATGAATTTTTATGAAGACAAAATTGTCTGCATTCATTTGAAATGGGGGGAGGAGATCCAGTAAATGCATTATTGACATCTTTATGTACTCTTATTCTAAAAAATTATTTTGTTGGCAGATAGGACAGAGGTGTAACTGAGGAGAAAAGACCAACTCAGAAGAGTAGGGAGGTTTAGTTGCTGAGGACCTAGGACAAGAGAGTATTATAAAATTAATTCTGATTTCTTGTCAAGCTGCAAAATCTTAAAATGATAAAATGTTTAAAGTGTTGTGGGGTAGATAATTTATTGCAGGAAGTGGCTTATCAAAATGGCAAAGGCAACGCTTAGTACAAAAAACCAGCCTCATCTTTTATGAGCTGTTCTGCAGCTTTGGAAGCTTGTTGTACAGCTACATCTGAGAGCAGCATTTTCCTTTTTCTTTCCTCGTCCCAGTTGTCCTCCAGACTAAACACCCCAGCAATGGTGTGAATTGTGGGAGGGCTGAAAAGCAACCCTTAATGTTAGGCAAGAATTTGTGGCTTTTACATATATGTAAGCAGTCCACTGGCATGTCAGGGGCTGAAAACCTCTGGTCTACAGCAACAAACCCTAACTTTACTAGCACAGGAGTAAATGCAGGTAACACTCCAGTAATGGGACACTTCTTTTTTCTGTCAGCCTAGGCGCAGGAATATGCTGTACCTGAGCTCCGGAAGATACTGATGAGCATTGGGTCAAAAACAACCATTCAAAGTTCTGCCTTTAAAGAATCTTTTCTAGTCCTTATTGTAGCCACAGAAACTTTCATGTGATGAAAAGGGCACTGGGACTTCATGGGACCTTATGCAATTCTAAACTGTATGTTTGCCTGTGACTGAAGTGCCCTTCACAGAGAACTTCATTTTTCTGGGAGTTGTTGCAACGTTACCTGGCACAGGAAACTTTAGCATGATGCGTTTTCCCACCCTCCCAATCTCTTTTAGGACCTACCCTACAGTTGAGTTCTGAACCCCTTCTGGGGAGCCCCTAAATCACTTGTGGCCCCTGCATTGTAGGTAGAGGAGGTAAGCTTTGATGGAAGAGAGATGGCAAATCCTTCATCTCAAGAGAGATGCAGTGCTTTTGTACTTAACCACATTTCAGGCTGACACAGAACAAGCTCAGTTCACCACACCTGCACTGTTTAGTGCAGTTTGTATGTCTTACTAATAGAACTAATAGAACTTGGGTTTACTAGCCTGAGGGGACCTTACTAAAATAAAGGTGGAGAATGCTGGTATGTTGTATTGAATTAAGAGCTGAAGTGATACTAAACCCTTTGTAGTATTTAGACAAGAACCAACTACTTTTACTAGTTACAAAACAGAACAGCAAAAATGTCAAAGTACATCTCCTTCACAAAGACTGGGATTATATGACATACTGTTGTTACTTCTTTGAAATACTGAATGTGCTGGTTCAAACAACTTTGAGGCTAAATTCACAAAGGAATTTAACAAGTTGCAGTGTTCTGTGTTTAAAGTTTAAAATCATAAGTGTATTTATGAGGCACACAGATAGTTAGTTCTGTGAGAGAAAGGGGTCAATGCCATATGCCCAATAATTGGGGCATTGTATAAAAAGCACAAGACCTTTTCGAGTTCTCAGGAGAAATATCCACTGTCATCATTTTCATTAAAGGGTTTGAATGCAATTCACCCATTGCAGCCCTGTGTAATTCCCACTCACTCAAGCTTAAAAGTTCATTTATACACAAGCTATTCCAAATATCAGGTTCTCTGTAAAATACAGAGTAATATGGCAGTTAGGACATCGTGGGGCTTAACACGTGGTTAACATGCAGGGGTGCAAACAACTGAACAGTGATTTTGGGCACGACCACTAGTCAAATATACCAGTCATGAGTACTACTCACTTTGAGGACTGACTTGAGCAGAAGTACCTTCTTATGGCTGTACTTCCCAGAAGTAACCTGCACCACAGGGTTAGCCTTAAGGAGAACTGAGTCAGTTCTTAAAATTTAACTACATGATACAGTTATTAAATTGCTTTCATGCATTAGAAAACAGGTTCTCAAACACTGGCACATGAAAAGCAGCATTATTGCACAAACTGAAAAGCTTTGTTTCAAGGGTAAGTCAATCCTTATATTTTTTAACTAAAAACCAAGCTTGCAGTTTTACTTTGCTGCTGGAAGAGACATGTCATAAGGAATGTATTTATTGCAACTTACCTCTGTCCCAAGTTTGAAGGGCTGCAGCCTGATGTTATGCTCTTCCTTAGACCTGCTCCCCCATGGCAGGAAGTGAAGTAGCACTTCAGGCTCAGTAGCACTTATTAACAAACACGTGGCAGACACTTTCCTGAGATGGGAAGGCACTGTCAGGTGAAGGTCAAGCAGCTAAAGAAACTGAGACTGCCCCAGCGATGTTCAAGCAGTCTGACAATGCTTTATCTTGAGACAAAATGCAATAAAAAGAAATCCAGGGTAGGTGGCACACAGATGAATATTAATCACCCTTGTGTTACAGTTACTCACTTTGCTGGCAGAAAGTTAGAGCTCTGAATGATTACTAAGCTGGTAGAGTTTAGTAATCTTCTGAGGACTTTGTTACTGCTTCTATTATTCCAGCTTCTGCTGTAGGAAGCTCTTCAAGATCAGGTTTGAGGTAACTCATTTTCATTCAAAAGAGTATGAGTAAAAATAGCTTCCCCACCCCTCAGTGAAAGTGGCAGCAATCCATCTTTGCTGCCTAGTCAGTGAAAACAACTGAATAGATTTGTATAAGCAAGTTCTAGCATAAGATAATCTCATATATTAATGCCACTGCCCTAGAAACAGATCTGTGCCATTATCTGCCAGTTACAATCAAGAACTAATTGAGAAGTATTGTAGTCTTTAAAGAGGTTGTAAAACTTATTTGAGCTTGATTGTCCCAAAAGCTTGTAGATTATGTCAATTTGTGTTACAGGCAGTTATCTTTTGTGATTCAGAACTAATTAGCGTTGACGCTACCTATA